GCACAAGCCGATCGCGTCCGACTGGTCGCTCAAACCCCCCCCCCCCTCCAACAAACGCATTCGTTTTCAGGTAACGAGTCGGGCGATCGACTCGACCCTCCCGACCCGACCCGACCGGACCCGATCCCATCCGCAATGGACACCCGGTTTAAGGAACGATCAAGGACCTTATTACAACCTTCTTGGGAACGATTCATTCTTAGGGGTTTGCTGTACAGCAAGTCGTCGTCAGAACTATTTTGTCCATTGTGTACTGAAGTAAAGAGGCACTTTGGACAAAATAGTTCTGAGGCGACTATGTGTCAGCGCCAACTGTAATCCTGTCCCCCCGGTTTTATGCAAAAGAAATTTTGAAATTATGCAAACTGAGCCCAAAAATGTGAAATTATGCGATTCTGTAAATTTTAACAAAGAATGATACAGGAAAATAATCAGAAATTATGCAACAAAAAAAAAAGAAGAAAAAAATATCAAATTTTGCTAAATTATGCGGGGTGCATAAAACCACGGGGACAGCTGTAATCAGAATAATGTCAGTCAGGATCTCCGATAGCTCAGTTGGTATCAAGCTGGACAAAGGAGCAATAAATGGCTCTAGTTGGAATTCCAGGCTGGGTGTTCTTGAACTTGGGTCGTTTTATGGAATTCTTCAAGGCTCTCAACCCATAGATTGGCTCTGTCGTATCGGAGACCGACGTTAAATTTGGTGGTTCCGCCTCCTTGATAAAAAACAACAACAGTGCTGACAGTGGCGTTAAACCCATACACTCACTCTTAGACGTAAGTCGAACTGGGCCATTCCGAGCTACCATGGCTGTGAGGAAAAATATTCGACCTTTGGTGGATTTTTTGGTGTATTTTCCTATCTCCCGAAAGTTTGATGTCTTATATATATATGTTTTAAAAAATTGAAACAAGCAACTTTACTCCACGGTATGTAAATAATAATAATAGATAGCATTTGTATAGCGCATATCCCCGCTCAACAGCAGGCTCTATGCGCTTTACACTATATTATTACCCCAGCAGACCATAGAACACTCCGAAATATTCTCAGCTTCCCGGGAAGCATACAGTGCAAGCAGCCGATTAAGCGCTCAAACACTAACAAACTGACAAGATCGTTCGCTGTCTATGTATTCATTTGATCCTAATTTATTTTTGAGGTGTACGTGGTTTTACGTTAACTTTGTTGCTCAATCTCATAGCCTGTTTTCTCATTTCCGTATTTCCACATCTTGAAGTATCAAAGTTTCCATATGCTCGTTAAGGAAAAGATGAGAATAACATGTACTCAGTTTGTTACATTTATGATTATCTTTGGTTTTGATTGGCACCCACACATATTATACACTGCCGAATGTTTCATGCCAGGGTGGAATCAGGCGCTCGTCAGTTTTTGGGATGTGGAGTAATTGGTATGATCTGACAGCTTGTCCATTTGCCTTGCTTTTGAATTAAACAATACCTACCTGTCTAGAATAGAAGTCGGGATATTTGCGATTGAAGGAGGTGAGGGTCGCCTGGTTTCAGGGGTAAAATTAGCGAGAAAACGACCACCAAAGTTGGATAACTTCAATACCTTGAGAGTCCCTGAGACCTGAAAGTTTACACAATTGAGTGCCTTTAATTACCCTTTGTTCCGCAAGATTCATACAGAAATATGTTTTAACATGGACATAGAAGGAGTTGAGAACAAAAACAAAAATTCGATAAAACTTGCAAACTGGCGGATAAAACCCCGTTTCGTCGATTTCATTATTCTGACAAGCGCCCTCTTTCACCACGATGCCTCACATATCATAATTATTATAGAACAAAGACAAGATGTGTTGGCGGCGGCAGTCGCTCTGATGAGGTTTGCTCCTTCATTCCAGTCAAACATCTGTCCTCATATCTCTCCTTCTTTTCTGTGAATGTTACTCCCCGGTATCACCTCTATTCTTGGGCACTTATATGACGTAGCTGTGTTGCAGTTGTCATAAAAACTCTCACTATAGTGCGGTCAAAAATTCGTAGCGTAACTTATTGTCAAATATTTCCTAATCTACTGAGCATAGACTCTCTAGCTTTTGCACCATGACTTGTATCAATTTGTCTTAACTGATCTATATTTTTGTAAACATCTGTTAGCAGTATTCTAGAAAATTCATTAATAAATGCTGATAAAAAATCCGAGTGGATGGTTTCTACCGATTTTAAAAGGTTTACAGCTGGAGTATAATCGCTTTTAAAAGCAAGTCCGTCATTTTTTTCTCATCGCGACATTATGCTTATTGAACGCATGCTTTGAGAACCTTTAGCGCAGAATTGTGTTCATTTAAAAATACATTTCTTGATACTAAAAAGTGTCATTGATGAGCTGTGACGTAGGCCATATGCGTATGCAAAAAGCGAGTGAGGAGCGGGAAGTGCTGTGAACAATCCTTTTTTCGCATGGTGGATATTTATAGTATTTAATATAAATTTATGAGGAAAAGTTTTTAAATCTCAACCTCAATTATTGTAGAAACATGCAACTAAGTTAAGACAAACTGATACATACTGTTGTGCAGAGTATGGCTGACATTGATTCACACGTTAAAAGAGATATTTGGGGATGAGTTGCGCCTTGAACTTTTGACACCACAATAAAACTAAGCTAACAGACAAACGTAACAAAAACAAATAAAACATCATCACACCCACCACAACAGCAACAACTTACAACACCAAAAAACACCAACAATAACAACAACAACAACAACAACAACAGCAGCAGCAGCAGCAGCAGCACCACCACCACCACCAACAGCAACTAATAACAACAACACCACCAAAATCAACGAAGACAATAGCCATAATAATACCAACAACAGCAGTAACAACAACAGTGACCAAAGCATCAAAACAACCATGACGACAACAGTGACAAAAGTAGCAACAGAAACAACAACACCAACAAGCAACAGCAACAACAGCAACAACAACAACAACAACAACAACAACAACAACAACAACAACAGTCTTTTTTACCTCTCCACCTCCCGCTTCTCATTTTCTCCCCCCCCCCAACCCCCGCAACCAACCCTTTTTTCTCCCTCCCTCCCCTATCCCTGTGTTTAAATTCCCCTCCTCTGCCACCCTATTTACCCCCCCCTTTCCCACCCCCCTTTACAACATCTCCTCCTCCCTCATCGCCCACTTTTTACACCACACACCCCCAACCCCTCGTCCACTTCCTCTCCAACACACCTCACCCCTCCATCTTTTTACCCCCCCCCCACACCATTTCATTCTCCTTACTCTCCCTCCCCCAGGCCCAGTGGCAAGCGTGGTCATCAATGTGTCCAGCTGCCGCGTGTGTGTATTCCTGTCCGGTCTTCTGGCCATGGCGGGCTGGTCACTCAGTAGTCTGGTGGTGGACGTTCGCTGGCTCTTCCTCACCCTCACCATGGCAGGTAACACCCAATGTACTCTGACAATTGCGTAACAGTCTAGCACTCACATAGCGAAATAGAACTACAGCTTAGCACTCACATAGCGAAATCGAACTACAGCTTAGCACTCACAGAGCGAAATCGAACTACAGCTTAGCACTCACAGAGCAAAATCGAATTACAGCCAAGCGCTCACATAGCGATATGGGCGAGACGTAGAAATACTTTCGTTATGAACAAATTTCGCCATGTTTTGTACGTATTTGAATACAAAGAAAATACATGTACATGAATTGGGAAAAAAACCGCTTTGTGCATGTTTCACTATAATGTGTGTGTTCGTTATGCGCGTGTTAGACTGTTAATTTGATTCCGTCGAAACCAGCCAGATTTTCCTTCATTGATGAGATGAAATGTGTCATTTCGTACAATTTGATTGATTCAACTACATTCGACTGTGACTATCAAAATCAAATATGTTTGTCTTTCAAGGTCACAAGTCTAGTCGGTCGTATTGTTACCGAATGGTAGGAATTGCCCCATCCATGAAGGAAAATCTGGGTGACCTGGATTCAGATCGATGAATAAAATTTGCAGTGTTGTTGCTGTTGTTGCTGTTGTTGCTGTTGTTGTTGTTGTTGATGTTTCTGTTATTGTTTTTGTTGCTGTTGCTAATGTTGCTGTTGCTGTTGTTGTTGTTGTTGTTTGTGTTGTTGTTGTTGCCGCTGTTACTCCCTGCCATTGCTTGACGTTTTGGTAACGATTTTCATCATAGATAATGATTTTGCTATCGTTTTGAATATGATGCAATGGGTTTGCCAGCCCTTTCAAAGCTGTGTTAAAGGCACAGACATTTGTGATGTAGCGTATAGGTGCTTCACTGTGGCATGCAGGAGAGCAGAGTTCGATTATCGAGTGGTGAGAGTTTTTAAAGAGTATCCCGATCTTTCTGTAGGGATGTTGTATCCCTCTCAGCCCAGGTTGGCTTTTAACGGCAAGGTCAACGTTTTAAAAACATCTAGCCTCAATTATTCTGGAAAAATACGATTAAGTTAAGACAAATTGATACATACTGTTGTGCAGAGTATGGCTGACATTGATTTACTAGTTAAAGAGATATTTGGGGATAAGTTGCGGCACGAAGTTTTGACCGCACCATAAAACTAAACTAAAAGTCCACCTCCTAAAGGATCTAAAAGAGAAACGATTAAAGGATTTCTCTTTTGTTTGCTTTTATTTGCTCTTCTTCTAAAACACACCTGACATTAATCGATAGTCATCTGTATAAACAACAGCATCCTACTTCCATTTATATTTTTAAAATATAAAAAATGACACAGTCAGAAATGTCCACCTGTTTTGTTGTTTTGTTTTAGTAGAGGTTTTACGGCTCTCGCAACTGCATAAGGTCATATGAGCGCCAGTTCACATATTTAAGACAACCCTTCTTCTTCTCAACAGTGAGTGGACGTCTTTGAAAATATTTCCACTGTATTTTCCTCCAGGCGTTGGCCAGAGTCTCTCAATCACCGGCGGTACTGTCGTTCTCCCCTCCTTCTTCCCTCAACAGACTGCCCTGGCCAACGGAATCTTCCTGGGCTGTGGAGGACTCGCTATCTTCATCCACCCACCTCTGGCTCAAGCTCTCATAGGTAATACATGTATAAAAAGAGGTCATTTGTCTTGGAAAGGTGGCTGTTAGAACAGGTTCAATTGTGCAGTCGAAATTCTCCAAAACGGCCTTCGATTGTTGAGGAGAAAAGTGATCGTCTTGAACAGGTAGGCGTTTTGTACAGTTTCCCCCCCTCCCCCCCCCACTTTTTTTACCACCCTATATTACTGACGTCGAACCTGCTCTAACGGCCGACTATATAAGACAATCACCTGTACAAACGACCACTTCTCATTTCCCTCCTTGTGTATGTGTGTGTTAGTGTTTTTTTTTTTTTAACATTATAATAGCATTGAGTAGGACATCCACCTGTTTAAGAGGGCCACTTTTCTCTTCGTCAATGCATAGCCATCTTTGACAGTTTTGAATGAGCCTGGATACCCGGATACCCGGATACCTGGATACCTGGATACCTGGAGGTGTCATCTCTGGCACAGAGGTTGACGTCCAATTACCCGACATTAATTTTCTTACGGTTGCTCGCTGCCGTCATACACTCTGTCATGCATAGGCCAGTCCATGCCTTGATGTTATCCGTCCATATTGTGTATTGTCCACCCTTAGCCTTTAGCCCTACATCTTGCCTTCACGTGTTTCCTTTATAATGGTGTGTGGGTGTTTTATACGACCAAATAACCTACTGTACTTTTCTACTTTTTTTTGTTTAGAAGTGTTCGTCTTGTGTGGAGAATCTAACACACCTCATTGTTTGTCTTTTTTTGCACTCCAACACATTTTGGTCATTCTACGGTAACACTTGGTAGTTGGTGCAACGTGGTTTTTCAAAAGACACAACGGTGGACCACTGGCAGAATTCGAACCCATGGTCTTATGATTGAGAGTCGAGAGACTGACTACTAGACCATCGACACCACCAATAATGATACATTTAACATTTTCACGTAGTAACACAGCCTACCTCTGAATTCGCCCATGTCGACTGTCATATTTCTTAGTGGAATTTCTACAACATTTTCTAAGGGTTACGACGACAAGAGCTCATGAACTGTTCATAGCTGAAGTTTTCAATTTTAATTCCTTAACATTTTTGTAATAATAATAATAATAATTGACGCATGGCGCAAAAACAAAGAGAGAAGAAAACTAACCAATTGGTTTATATTCCCACCACAGATGCGTACGGCCTGAGAGGCGCTTTCCTTATTCTCGGCGGTCTGGCCTCCCACTCTTGTCTGGCCGCTCTGTTCCTCCGACCCTCACAAGACGAGCAGGAGAGACAGAAGAAAGAACAATTGTCTTCCTATGCCTATTGCTCAAATGATACGCTTCGAAGCTCAAGGAAAAATAAAGTGTTGTCTTTTATGACGGTAAGGATGAAAATTTTAAGCAAAAAGGGCACTTTCTTGGCCATGTCATTGCTAGATCCAGTATGTTTAAGCTACAACAACAACAACAACAACAACAACAACAACAACAACAACAACAACAACAACAACAACAACAACAACAACATCAAGAACAACAACAACTACAAGAACAACAACAGCAACAACGACAACGACACCACCACCATCACCACCAACAACACCAACAGCAGCAACAACAACAACAACACATCTATTACAATATTGGGGCCCTTCTTAGTGTTAAGGGTCTTCATTGGTCCTGACGTTCCCATTCAAAAGCTTTTTATTTAGATTCGTATAAGAAGTTGATACTAAACTCTGTCCACTCTTATTTTTGTTAAACGGTAATTGCTTAAAAGTAGTAAATAGAGCACTGAGAGTCGTAAGACGGTGCAAGTGAGAAATACGGCATTTAATATTATCAAAATTATCCAACATTTCGTAGCTAAGACTTCATCTAGAATATGCCTCTGTGTGTGTGTGTGTGTGTGTGTGTGTGTGTGTGTGTGTGTGTGTGTGT